TATATATATATATATATATATATATATATATATATATATATATATATATATATATATATATATATTTATTTATTTATTTATTTATTTATTTATTTATTTATTTATTTATTTATTTATTTGGAAAAGAAACATTCATAAAATAGCTGTTGCATCAAGAGAGTTGTCCATAAGGAATTACCCATACCTCGATTTTTCGATCAAGCTTGTTGAGAACAATATTTCTTTCCAGATAATCAACAGCTTTTGGGTTCAAATCATTTGCATATACATACTTTACTTTTTTTGCCGCAGTAATAGCTATGGGACCTACACCGGAGAATACATCACCTGTATGTTGAATAAACCAGTAAGATCTTTAAAACTATAATAAGCTTCAGATAAACTTGATTTAAGAAACCAAATTGATGGAAAGATATCCTCTTCTAAGAGCCAAATACATTTATCAGAAGCTGTTTAAACATGACAAATCAATCACCAACCAACCTATTCTGTGAAACAAAATCTCAAAACAAACGAAATAATAAAAGGCCATAACATATGATTTAGCAGGTTTATCTCAGATAACCATCCATTTAGTGACCAGATATCAACAGATACTAGGGTTGTTGAATTTATAAAGCAATAAGGATATCGTGCAATCCTAAAAAGAACAGGACTTCAAAATAAGTAGAAACGTCCTGCAAAAATCCCATATCAGAAGGAAAATTGAAATGAACGCCCTCTAATGACAAGGCCCAGATAACAAGACTACAAAACAGACATGATTTGACATGATTAATCAGATAATTATAATTTTGAGAAGACTCGGAGGAGCACATAGTTTTCATAATGTTAATTTCTTTGATGTGTGCGATTGGATGCTTGCACAAGAAGCACTATGCAGCTGTTGCAGCATAACGCAATTGAAACTACAGGAAAGGTGTCACATAGCTGCTACAGTTAAAGCCCATGGCTTAGTTAACAGTTAACTGCACGCACATGCGCCCACCCACCCCCGTGCACACCTACAAACCCACTCATGCACCGGCCGATACACCCACCCATGCGCGCACACAACTGCACATACGCAAGCACGTACACAACACCCCACACATGTTCATGGTATCCACACCCACACCCACACCCACTCACAGACAAACACATTCTCAAGTTTTGTCTTATTGAAGCTAAGTTCAATAGTAAAGGGCATAGCGTGTGGCCCACAAAGTCCCATAGAATTTAAATATTTAATATTACCATGACATACATCTATAATCCACAATCTCACGGAAACTTTTGGATAAAGTGGGTAAACATGCGACCTAGGTAACACGGACACGGACACGGACACGGACACGGATACAAACACGGGACGCGGCAAATTAGTAAAATGAAGGATATGGGGACACCGTATATAATACACACACAATCAAATATAGAACAAAAATACCAATAACATTTGTATGTTTCTTTCTATTATCTATAACAATTAAGAATCAAGTTAAACCAAACCAAGAATAAGATTTAACAAAAAAAAGTTTAGTTTCGACCGCATGGAATAATACAATTGGTGTTTTTCAAATATTTAAGTAATGGGTTTTTGTTTTCAGGTTTAAAAACAATTGGTTTTGAACCTGATATTAACAGAGAAATTAATTTAGAGTATACGTAATGAGGAAATCAGATTTCTCTTTGAACCACAAGTGTCCATGGAGTGTCCGCGGAGAGTCGGTGTCGGACACGGACACAGCACACAAAATGAAGTGTCCGTGTTACCTAGCATTCTACACAACATAGTCCTTGAGAACTAAATAACCTAAATGCTGAACTTAGAATTTCAAATTAACCTCTTAAGGTTAATATTGGAAAGTAAAGATAAGAACCTCTCTTCAAACAAACTAGCAATTAATGTCATCTCGCCACAGACAGATGGCTTCAGATCAAGTTACACCTCTAAAATCTTTTACACCTCTAAAATCTTTCTGGATTGAGATAAGCACATGAAGAAACAAATTTCAATAACGAATTAGAAATTTTACATGTATAGATAATGCTACCAAATTTTCTTTATAATATAAAAAGTTTAAGAAGTGACTCCAGAGGAATACAACAGCCTCTTGTTATATCTTACATGTATTAAAGATAACTTCTACTTAAACTTTAAATTAAAAGAGTATCAAGCCAATCATGTTTTAATACATTAGAAACAAGGACATTTAATGACAGATGGGTAATTCAAACAAAGACACGGGAAACTTACATACAACATCGGAGTTTGAAAAGCAACTAATAAGCCTTTGCCTTTCAGTAGCCAACCTAGAATTCCAATATCTGCAGAGATACAAAGCAAGTTGATATTGACCATTCTAGATCCTAAATATATTTAGCTGTACAAGTATATCGGCAGACATCTAGCTGATCTAATAAAATGATCCATTAACTGTGAAGACATGAAAAAGAAAGAAACAATTCAGATGCAGTAAAAGTGCAGATTTTTTGTAGCATCATCCCAGGGCTCATCAAAAAAATTTAGAATCAGAAAATAGTAATGCGTAACTGGAAGGTGGAATAATATTTGAAGCGCATACAATTCTTGATTAGAATTGCATTTAAAGTTATAAGGGCAAATGGTCTTAGGTGAAAGCAGTACTCAGCTAATATAACATGGGCTGAGACAAAAGTGAAGCTAACAAAGTAGGTAAACTGTAAGGACCAACTTTTTACATGGTATGGAAACTCAGTTTGGGAGTAGAACAAACAATATGCCGATCATCTGAACAATTCCCCCACCCCACCCTGCGTCACAGCCCAACCCCTCAAAAAAATGTAAAGTAGAAAAAAGAAACTTCAAACAACCGTGGGAAGAAAAACCCATGCACGCATACGCTCTAAAGATTTACCATGCTTTGATTCTTTCCACTTATAAGTGGATAGCCTGAGAAATAGTAATACTCACGAACATCAAAAGCTATATAGCAAGAAGGCAGTCTCTTGCATATTTGTGTATGCTTTACTAGAACCGACCACTTCATTAAATCGTGTTTTCACTATTGGGAAGAGGAACAATTGCATAGATGCTCATCACTCAATACCTTTCAGCAAGGTTGCCCAATTAGAACACAAATGTTTCAGTGTTCCTCAAAGCCAGCATAGAGGCAATTAAAGCAAGATATCTTCCAGAAAAGGCATACAGGTTAACCACATAATATGCAACATGAAAATGTGATCCAATTGATTATCTGGATATGCTGAGATGAAACAAAGAGACCCAATTTCAGTACAATGACCCCAACGACCACTTCAGTAAAGCATCAGTTAGTTCTGTGTCAAGTCTGAAAAATATGCAAAGTATAAAATCAACATGTAACTCCACAGAATTGCCTAAACACCATCTCCACATCTATATTGTAAGTGTAAAGGGATATGTTCACCAGACTTCCAACACAAAGATAGGGTATACTAAGTTATATTAAATTCTTGGTGAGCCTGATACACAAGGCACAAGTACAACTCTGAAATATAAAAATGATAGGAAAGATAAATATATGATCAACCTCTAGTCCAATTAAGTTCGAAGAAAACATGTGTGAGGCAAACTTCTAGCTAATTAAGTTCAATTAAGTATCTTAAGACAGAGTAAGAACCTCAGAAGATAGGTTTACTTATGTCAGAGTATCTGCATTTAATAAGTCTAAAAACGAGATGCCTGATTATGTGGATCTAGTGCATCACCACTACAAACTTTTTTTTTCATGTATATGGGCTTCTGGACTTTCATATGAAGCCGATATGACAGTACAACTACCTTAACGTAAAGGAGGGAGCAAATATTAGGTTCCTAAATCCATAAACCTGACAAGCAGAAATGGGGATGATGGATTGCCTCTTCTATGACATTCTTGACAGACAATTCATTTGGTGAGGATAACACAACAAACAACCAGATAACAATATCTTCAACTTCAATCACCTGAGTTTGCAAAAGACATCCAATATTGTCAAGTCAGAAAATTGTTCCTGCGTGTTACAAACTGTAGCCTATTCACTAGTGCTGGGTTAATTTTTTGTCTCAAAATCATAGCTTTGGTTAAAACTTAGTCTGAAAAAGAAAAAAGAAAAGAAAAAGGAACCTTCTTACACTAAAAGAGAAAATAAGAACATACACCGAGGCTAAATCAACTTGAAAACGAATTCCATTTTCTATTACTGTAGTGACAAGTGAGTGGTTGCCTGCCAACACATCAAGCTCCATTGTTCTGTAATCATTCTGAATGGCATCTATTTTGTTTACAACTGTTTGTATTTTAGGACTGTTCTTGTCCAAAATCACCTGAGACGACATCAACAATTTCCTCAGTCCAATATGCTATAGAAAGACGAATAAAATAAACAGGACATAACTAAGAACAATCTTTTACGTATTGCAATATTATGATTTTGATTCTTATGGTTTTACAACATACTTGAGCAATAAGCTTCTTGAAAGGTTGATGCTCATCTCTCAAATTCAAGTGTGCAATATGACCAACAGTTTCAAAACCTGTTGGGACTATGATACCTTCAGGAAGCAAAGCTTCCAATAGCTGCAGGAAGAATAGTAAAAATTATGACAATAACTAAGATAAAATTCTAGTTTAAAAATAGGACAAAAGAATGGAAGAATGAGTTATCAAATAGAATGAGCAGACAAACCTCATTCATCTGCCAATAGTTGTAATACAAGGTTACCCGGCATTGAACAAGCTCAAATATCAAAGGGCTGTTTTGCATAGGACCGCCCAACAATGCAGCCTGGGCAAGGGTACATGAAATGAATATAGGTATAACATCATCATTTAGCAAATGGTCAATTGAAACAAAGTGAAAGAGAGATGATTACATAATTTCAGTATAATCATCAAAAGTAAACCAACTTAAATAGCCTTTTCTTGTCAATTATGAAGCCATACATTCCTTTGATAGCTTGTTTCTCAGTGTAAATTCAACCACGTTCCCTGGTGACTTGGCAGGCATTGGGTTCAACTCTCTTTCAATGAATCATTTGGAAGGTTCTCTTAAGCTTGTTCTTGATGTTAATCTCAGTCAAGCTTTGGCAAACAACCCTTTTTAGTAAACTGATTCATGGTAAGTTGAGAAATTCTGTAGATAGAGGATTTCATGCACAACCTGGAAGTTGCTTGCCAAGACAAACAGCTAAATGATCTTCAAATACATTAATTTGAAATTCCAATTACCAAATCCTATCACAAATACTCTAATATCAACGATCAACGAAATCTGAAAAAACTTGAGAACATTGCTTCTGTTTTGCCATAATCTTTTCATTCTTATGATTAACTACAAACTAAATGAAACTCCTGAATCACTCATCAAATCGCAATCGGAGAACTTCCATAGAAAATAACCCTCCAATAAAAACTGAGCTAAACCAAGCACACATTGACCCATTGACCGATTTCCAAATTCACATAGTGATCTACTCATCCAATCTTTCGTCTCAAATCACCAAGTATGGCTGCATTCACTGCCTAAACTAGCCAAGACACTAAATCTAGCTTAGTTATACAAATCAATTGCAAACTCTAGCAATAAATTCACCTATTAGCCCAATATCAGATCATCAATTCATGTACATCTAAAACACATTAAATATAAATGCAATTAGCTGACCACATTCAATCAGATAAAAACTAAGTCAACTCTTAAAAAAAGATTAAACTCGCCTTAACAGCCTCAGGCATCTCGTCCATTCCTTTCTTCGCATATCGTTCATCCAACAACAGCAGCCTCGTCGGACCACTCCATTTCCCTCCTTTAAACCCCTCTCCGATCAAAATGCTCCAATCCTCATCCTCTTCATCCCCAACCACTTCAACACTATAAATCTCATCCTTCACTCTTCTCTCTTTTCCTTCACCCCCTCCTTCTTTCCTCCTCCTCTTCTTCTTCGGCCTCGAAATCTTTGCAAGATTCCTGAAGTTGACATACCCTCTGCAATTAAAATCCTTCACGAGCTTCTCCCTATACAAAACCGGACTGAACACCTCCTCCTCAATTTCCGACTTCCGATCCAACGACTTGAGTCGATCTTCGCTTACTGACGGTGGATTTTTCAGCAAATTCTTGAGATCGGGATCAACATCATCGCCTTCGACCCTGGCGATGTTGCGGACCCGCGGCCAGTTGAGGAGGTGGCCGCGAATGCGGCGCTCGAGGGCGGAGCACTCTTCGGCGGGGACTCTGAGGGCGGAAATGTCGAAGACGCGGGTGAATTGTGACCTGTCGATGGATTCGGCGTCGGCGGCGACGGCGATGGAATCTTGATTGGGGTTAGGGTTAGCGTCTGGATTGCGGCCTTTGAAGAGGGATGGGCCGTGGCTGAGAGGTGAAGAATAGTCTAGAGCTAGGGTTAGGGTTAGGGTCTGGTTTGAGGAGAGAGAGGAGAGGAGAGAGAAAGGCCTGAAGAGGGATCTGGTACAGGGGAGAGAGAGGGCGAAAGGATGATGAGGACGGAGACTGAGGAGCGAAGACATCCAGACTGAGTGCTGAAAATGATTTTGGGTAAAATAGCGGGAGCTTTCTTGCGTATGGTCGTGCGTTTCGCTTTAAATAGGATTTCTTACTGGACCTAAGCCCAATTAGAGAGTGGCTCGTTGTTTCATAGAAGAAGTTAATGGGCCGGATACATGTATGGGCCTGTAGCCTTTTGATAGCAAATATTCCACTTTGTGTATTGATTTGGATGAACTTTAAGAAATAGATTTCGATGGGCAACTTAGATTGGATACAAAAGAACTGACTAAATTTTTTTCAAACAGATTTATTATTATTATTATATTCTCATCGCACAATTCACTAGCTCTTGTTGCTGCAAATCTTATGCAAAATAGATTAGATTATAAAAGTTAATCTCAAGGCAAGTCTAAAAACAGTATCGAAGCTAGTTAAAGCATTTATATCCAGCAATTCATATCTTTTTTCAACTTGAGTCGAGTTGAACATTCTATATACTTATTGGGTCACATAAAAAAGGCTAGTTTTGGTCGAACTGTAGGAATATTGTAGCAAAAAATCTTCGTGAGATATAAAAGAAGTAAAGATTGTTAGGCCATCTGTAAAATAGTAATATTCTGTCGATTTTCAAACATAAGTTGGAAAGAAAAGGGGGGAAAGGGTCCACCGTAGTCCATGTTATGATTCTTTTTCTCAACCAATTCCATTCTTCAAGTTAGAGATTGGGAGAATGCATGCATGCTCGATTGCTGGATTCTTTCCTCTCTCTTTTTTTTTTCTCTTTCTCCTTTCACTCATGAGACAAGTTATCAAATAGTTAAGACAAAGTATTTAGACGGCTAGGTTTTCTTAGCCATCCTAGCAAAACACGGCCCACTAAGGGCATGTTTGTTTCGTAAGAAAAGACCGAAAATGGGGAAAGTGGGGGGAAAAGAAGGTGAATTTTGATGTTTTCCTCCACTTTCAGAGGTTTGGTTTGTCAAAGCTATAACCGAAAGTGGAGGAGAAAATGAGTTGTCACCGTATTATTGGTTGATGTAAGTAATTTTTGATGTTTTCCTCCACTTTCCTTGTTTAGGTTCTTTTCTTGTGTTTGGTTCATTCTTAAAAGTGGGGGAAAATAGATGAGATGAGATGAGTTGTCATTATATTATTGGATGATGTGACACATACTTAGGAAAATCAATTTCCTTGTTTTTTTGGAGGAAATGGATGGAAGGAAATTTTAATGAGATGTGATGAGTTGTCACCATATTATTGAATGATGTGAGTAATTTTTAAAGATGATAGAAAATGAAGAAAAGTGGGGGAAAGTGAGTTAGATGAGTTGATTGATGTGACTCATTTTTTGTGTTTTGTTTATTTTTAAAAGTATGAAATGAGATGTGATGGGATGAGTTGTCACAATATTATTGGAGGAAAATGGAGAAAGTGAAGGAAAGTGGGTTTTGGATTCTGGGGGAAACGAAACAAACAGCCCCTAAAAAGAAATCATGAAAAAGGAAAGCAAAAATAAAGACGAGAAACAAACAAATCATCGAAATCATGGAAGTGTCTTCAAGGCTTTATTTAACTAATTTGGATTATTTTAAATCATTACTTTTAATCTCAATCGTTGATTACTTAGTATGCAGTTATGATACAATCTAAATCTTACACTCACAATACCCCCTTCCTAATTTGCACTCAAAGAAAAAATCACAACCACCAATTAGATAATCAATGGTTGTGATTATGTAGCAATCCCTCCTCTACTTTTTAGATAGTGGAGAAGTACAGAAAGATGGCATCCAATCCAATGAATGAAGTCGTCTCCTAAGCTGGGAAGAATGTGGAGAGTTTTCGGCTCTGGGTCCGTGAACGAAGCGGCAAGCGATCGCTTTAGTTTCATTTATTTTCGTATGAGATGCTGGCTTTTGTTTCCTAATATTTTTGAAGTAGTTTCTTAGGAAATAAAGGTCTTCAGATAAATATAAATTCTATTCAATGTTAGATTGTACTCATAGATTGTTCGTATTGCTGCTCCTAAATGTGAGTCATCCTCTTTAACATCAGCGGTCACAACCTTCTTAAATAGTGAAGAAGAGTGTCGACTAATTCATTCCTAACGTATATAATACCATCTTAGTTGTGATCATGTATGTTACTGTTTTCCAATCGATATAAAATACCTATGATTGTGGCAGTTTATCTGAGGATATAAAATTTTTATTTTATTCATGGACCACACAGTCTATAATGGGACGCTTCTTCTCGGATCTCAAATTAATTGGCCCAGCCATGGGACAAGGTAATGCATATCATTTTCTGGGGATTCTAATTAGATTAATGTTTAAAATAAAATGGAATGTAATATGTTATGTGCTTATTTGGTTAGTCTAAAGTGTAGACCTAAAGTCGAAACAAGAGCTGGAATCAAAACGACGAAAAAAATAAGGCAGACAGATCCACGGTCGACCACGAGTCTTCTGCAGTCGACCGCGAACATGCACAGGGGCTCAGGAAGAGCTGGATCCGAAGGCGGTCGACCGCGGCGGTCGACCGCACAAATCTCTGTAATTGGTTTTGGTCTCGGGTTTTGGTTCGGTCGACCGCCGCGATTGACCNAAGAGAAGTTTTGACTGCAAAAAGAGAGAGAATCTCAGAGAGATTAAACCCTAGTTTGAGAGCTTGTATTTCTTCTTTAATTAATAAAGAAATTGTGTGGTGTGGCTCCCGAGGACGTAGGCACGTTGCCGAACCTCGTTAAATCTGTGTGTTCGTCTCCTTTACTCTTTTACAATGTCAGATCTTTATTTGTGGTGAATTTCATACTTTTCTACTTTCAACACAAGGTCCGGAAGGACAAGAGTTCGATTGATTGTTTCGAATCCCCAACATATTTCTCTTGAAGGAAACTTCTAATCCAACTTATTACCTCCAATCCTCAAATATTGCTCATTCCTACCCAGCTAGTTGCAACGAAAGTGATCACAAATCAGTAACATGAAGGAAAATGGAGGTCTCGTGACTCTTGTCCCTGCAGCTTCAAGTCTCGTCTCATGATCCAAAAAGTTGTGATAACTTTTATATTAAATTTCCTTTAAAGGTTGCCTTGTATAATGACGTCTCACGAGGGAGAAGACGAAAAAGTTGTGTTCATAACGAAAATTTTGATCAAGACTCCTCCCAATTCATTGGAGGAATTCTAGTCAAAAACTTGTAGGAAGGCAGTTAAAAACTCCCAAAACTCTTTGAATTTTCATCGGTTATTAAAAAAGGAGGAAAGGGGATGAAGGAAGAAGTGTTAGCAAATTTTGTTGTATTAATTTATCCCATAAGAAGTGCTATACTTCAATAATTCATCTTAAAATAATAATAGCTGTTCCTTTGCACAAGGTATCTTTTCTGTGCCTTGTCAATATTTATAATTTACAGAACAATAAAGTGAAAAGTTTTTCTTTTCTCTCATTTTTAGAGAAGGCTAAATGTCAGGAAACCCCTCTTAACATTATATGAATATCAGATAACACCTAAAACTTTCAAAATATTAGAAAACTACTCGTAAATTTAGATGATATAAAAAAACCACCTTTAGCCTGAAGATTTTTATTTAGAAACCCCTCTAATGGTGTGAATTGCCATTGGCAGAAATATTTTCATGTGTAACTTACTTACTCGTATGCAAATTACGGTTAACGATTATAGGAGGCTTTCTAAAAAATTCCTAAAGTTAAAGGTTTGTTTTATAACCCCTAAACTTAAGGGGCTTTTCTAATATTTTTGAAAGTTATGAATGGTTACCTAAAAATTGTCCAAAGTCAAAGTTAAAGGATTTTTTCCCCTAATACTTAGCCTTTAAAGAATCTGATTATAGTCTTGATGCAAGTCATACTCCCTTTAAAAGTACGAGTTCGGAAAAATCTTTCTATGGTCAATATTACCCTTAATTTTTTTAAATATTATATTATTATTCTAATCTATTGTAATTATATTATCTTCTTTGAATTAGTAACTAAGTAATTTATCATATTCATAATGAGACTTAACATGTTATTCGATAAAGAAAATACGTTTGACATAATTCAAATCCTTTACATATTTCAGTTCGCAGAGAAATCTAAAAAACATATACTAGCCATCATCTTAAAATTTTTTGACTTCGTAAAAAATATCCTCCAAGTTTTTTAAATTGCAAAAACACCCCTACAAATTTAAAGTTTTGTTAATATATCTTAAAAATTATAAATTTTACTTATTTCAATTCAGTGAGAAATCTGAAACATATGCTAGCTAGAAACTAAAAGTTTTTTGGCTTTGGAAAAAATATCTTGTAAGTTTTAAAAATTACAAAAACACCCCTAAAATTTAAAATTTATAAAAACACCTTAAAAATTTCAAACCTATAAACACAGTAAAAACCTACAAATAACACAAACAACCCCCAAAAATTTATGGAATTTGCAATAAACACTAAACTTTTTACAAATTACAAAATAAAACCCTAAGAATTGTAAAATTTACAAAAATCATGATAATTTCTAACCTAATAATACATTGAAAATATAGGAATTATAAATATCCCCTACATGATATTATAATATATCGAAAACACCCTTGAAGTTTCAAAAATTATAAAGAAAACCTTAAAATTCAAAATTTATAATTAACACCATGAGAATTTCAAACTCATTAGTAAATTAAAATCATAAGAATTATAAATAGTCTATAAATAGTTTATAATCTGTAAAAAATACCTATAAGTTTAAAAAATTACAACAAACCTCTAAAATTCATAATTTATAAAAAGCACCAGGAGAATTTCTAACATATAGATACTAAAATGAATATACAAAATTACTACCAACCCCTAGAAAATTAAAATTTTACAAAAAATATCACACTCACTTTAAAAGTATAGATTTAGGAAAAACCTTTCATGGTCAACATTACCCATACCTTTTTTGAAAATAACATAAATGGTTGAAAATCTATTAAATTTGAAATTTATAAATAAACACCCTTAAAGTATAGCACATTGCAAATTACCCCTCCAAAGTTTAAAAAAAATCAA